AAATTAGGAAAGGTCAAAGAAAATCTCCTTTTTGTACTCTTGGATATCATAATCATTCAATACTAAACTAAATCTAAAAAATACTATTTTGAAACTTACCTACCCTGACAGAAAAGTCATTTTTCCTTCAGCAACAGTCTAACAACTGTCATTTGAAATAGTATACATCTCACAACCAAAATGGGTGTGTAACTAAATATAGATGAAGAATTATCCTGAGATCTCCCTCCTGCATCTATTTCAGTTTACGAATTAGTATTGGGTTGGAATTAGGTGCACAAACCACTAAATTTGAACGTTACAATGTGTTGTTATGTTTAGAAGTATAGTTTCATTGCGAGAGAATCCATTTGGATAATGTTTTCCATTGTCGTTGATGTTTTTTTAGACAGACTTTTGTCTTGGGTTAATAATTGATAATGCGGTCTATCTTTTATGCCCATGAAAGACAAACTAAACATAATGATAATAATAATTAAGCAATGAAATATACAAACAAAAGAAATAAATTTTTCATTAACCATGAACGAGCTAGCGTAATCCTATTTAAAACGATGCTTAACAAAAGCGCAAAATTAAAAATACTTTGCATTGTCGGTACTACAGCTTTGAAATTTGACTTTTACCATCAGTTACTTTTAGGCCACGTAGGGCCAATTTTACAGTGCTCAAATATTTTTTTTCTTTTTTAAAGCAACGTTGCGCCACATTAGGATTTTCTCCTGTGTCGTGGGTGCGTTTACAAACATACAAGTTCACATACACAATGACACCCAGATCCGAAACAACAATTTGTGGATCACACAAAGTGTTGTTCCGTGCGGGAATCGAACCCGCGACACGTTGCACGGCAGCCGGTTGCTCAGCCACGGCACCGATTGTGCAGTCAATTCGATTGACAATATATTCGACAATTCTTCCATACTAAAAACTGTCAACTGTTAATTTTATTCTACAGGTAAGAAGTAACTGGTGATTGAAAAATCAGTCCTTACACAGTCACAGATAGAAACCGTCACTATTATACAATACTCAAACTTCACTTTACACAAGAACTTCCGCATTTCGCCAACTTCAAACCAAAGACCAGTACAGATATCCACCTCTTTAAAGATCTTCCCAATCTTGATACTTCCAAGGTTTGGATAACCGTTCTTATCTCTTCGTGCAGATTTTTGCAAGCGTTTACAAACTTGGCGTGGTCTGCTGAACTCAAATGAACTGGAGCCGCCAAGATACGGCCAAGACTAATTTTCAATTAAAACTTCATCAAAGTTTCGTCCAAAATGCTGGTGGTACAAGGTGGGAGAACAATTGCAGATGTTTTTTGGAAAGAAACAAAGTTTGAGGTTATTTTCGGAGACGTTGTTGTGTTTTTGTAAATAGAATTTATGGTTTTAGGAGTTATGTTCATTGTTGTTGATGACTTTATTTTCTACGATGAAATAAAAGTTTACTGTGTTTTGCTGAATGAGTAAGTATTCGTTGTTAAACCTGAATTTTTATGAATTTTAAACAATGTTATTTATGAACACTTGAACAGATAGGTATTGTATTTCAAAATATCAGAAAGGTAATGCACAGTAGCTTTGTGAAATTCTAAATTGCAATGATTATATAAATTTTAACGATCGTCACTCGTCTTGTCATCCTCTTGTTAAACATCTACTTATTTAGTATTATAACATATTCACTTCTAAGGTCTTCTGTGACTAGAATCATTAGCAATTAGAACAAGTAGGATTTTATCGGTTTTATTTCGCTTATGTAGTTTTAAGTACATAAAGGCTTAAATTTTGGTAATTTTTGTTTTTGTTTTGTTCATACCATGTTACACACAGTGTCTTAGTTTTTACTGGTTTGTCCTGTCGAAGGACTGCAGGATGAGATTCCTACGGGAATATTATGTAGTACCTACCTATGTACCTCCAATTTATTTATATATGTATTTCTCCTGTGTAATGTCTCTGTGTTATGGATAAATAAATAAATAAAAATAAATTTTAAACACTACTAACAAAAGAAAAAACAGTCAACTCCTGACACAAAACTGAACTTATAAGATGAAACAAATTATGAAATAGGTTTACTAAAGTAAGGATCAAATAGAATATCCTACATCAAAACAGAGTTCAAAATTAACGCACTTAAGTTCTTAACTTAAACCGCATTCATGATAAGATCTCCGGCAAACTACAGGTAACTTTGAACCGCGGTTAGTGGCAAACGGTTAGGTATACTTCATTCCATTAATCGTGAGTTTGTTTAATACTTAATTACAGATTAAATTAACTTTCTCTTCATACTCGTATACTTAATATTAATGGTTGCTAAGAGTTAGTCAATATTTTGGGAGTTCAGTAGTTTGATGTGTGGATTACAGCAAAATGATGTTTAGAAACAAGTTTAAGATTTCCAGCTACAGAAATTCTTAGCAGTAGCACGGAGTCTGAAATTGTGCACGGTATATAGCAATAGGCTCACCCCCTATTACATGGGACTCATAACATAAATAGTGAAAAGTGAATGTTACATTGTACAGTGGCATTAAATGCTGTAATGTATATTATCTCTGCCTAACTCTTTGGGGATAAAAGGCGTCATGTTATGTTATGTTTTAGATTTCCAAAAGACTGGATTATATTATGAATGGCTTGTGATTCACCATTACAGTGTAACACAGTTATAAAAAATGCGATTTTTTTTATTAAAGATTTCAAATGTCGCCTAATAAATTATTGAGTTGTTATTAAAGTTGACACAGGTTATTTATTTTATGAAGCGAAACAATCTAAGAGAACTCTTACTTAAGAGAACTTGAACTCTTACTGGATTTCAATGTGGGAATTTAATTAATTAATTATTTCTATTTCTCCGCTTTTTCAATTATTGATATTCAACAACATTGTAGTTTAATTTTTTTATTTTGAGTTGGATTCATTATTGATTATTGGAAATTGTAACTTAATTTGTCTTGTTTTGATTTGGAATCATTAGCAAGGGTTGTGTTTAGATTGTTTGTTCTAACTTAGAATCATTTTTGAAAATTGTGATTTAGTTTTGTTAAAGTATTTGCATGCCAAATTTATGGGCGAGATATGATGAACTATTGTTATGTTATAAAATCTGTAAACCACCATATTTCAGGCAAATAAATGAATCTATCTATCTATCTATCTATCTATCTTGTGATCTGACTACCAACAATTCACAATACCAACACTAACATGTTCAAGTCACTTAAACAAACCAACTGCTTTTAAATCAATTACCTCAGCATCACCTCTTACAGAATCACAAAAATGGACTCCCTCAACACTAAAAATTTCAATACCAGCTCTTTATCTGGTGTCACGTGTGGGAGACGGATCCGATACGTCATGTCGAACCATGTGACGTCATTGGATAGTATGGACAGCTCCAAATTGGATTTTTATCCGATCGTCCGGACGTTACTTCCACCAGAATAAATTGTTTTTGTTCCAAAGATGTCTTTGTTTAAAGTTTTCTTTGATAAAAGTGGCTTCGTGGCTTGTAGGGGGGGGGGGGGAGAAGTGATGGTGCTTGTTTGAAGACTACTTTACAAGTTTAAGTTGTGGATTTTAATTTTTCTTGGACATAAAGTTCTTTGTTTTTATATTTACTACAAAGAAAATCCGAATAGTAGGTCTAAGTGAAGGTAGGATGGTACTGTTGTTATTGACAAATTAAGATAAAAATATAATTTGCTTTCTTATGTTCTAAATCAAGTCCGATGCAAAACTCTTAGTTTTTAATTATCCTCAACACAAAGACGAATAACTATTCCATGACCAGCCGAGATAGTGTTCAGACGTCATCAAATATATAAAAAAAGACTTCTCACCCGATTAAACCAATAGAATAGAATATAATAAACTTTATTGTACACTATTAATAATATAGTACATACAGAAAAGGAAATGACAAATAAAAATAATAATAGGCACAAAGGCGGTCTTATCACTTATAGTGATTTCTACCAGACAACCTTTGGGTGGATATAACGAAAATAAATATTTAGACGGGTTGTGTACTAAGAAAATAAATAAATATACGTACATATAAACATGCATACATGATTACATTGATTACATACCTACCTACACTTAAATATACCATAATTATGGACCACAAAAAGGAAACAGTTTGATGATGACATTATAGAAGTATATTTATCTACAAAATCCAAGCTGGAATCTTTTAAAATATCACCTTTTACCTATAAATCATACACAGACGGCAGCACTATAAGTTATACCAAGCTATAAGAATCGTTTAATAGATTTTAAACTTTATTACAAAGCAATGTAGTTGAGAATGCATTGGATATTGTAGGGTACCTTGATGGGCTGGTACCTGAAAGATAGTTGTTTTAAGTTTTACAGAATATTATGAAAATTTTCTTCGTAGGAAATTGAAATTGTTTTAAAGAGAGTGTCTTGACAGGCGTTCCTAGCTTTAGTTATGAATGAACGTGTTGCTTGTGCGATAGGAGTTTGACAGTTTCGTTTACTTATTTATAGTTTCAGTTCGTCATTCATGGGTACAATAGTTGTGATATTTGTTTTTTTTTGTCTAATCTGAAAAAATTGATGATCTAATATATAAAAACGTTCAAAAGTGCCTTTCTGGTCTAATTTAAATAAATGATTTTGACTTTGACTTTGACTAATTAGTCGTATGAAAATAGGTTTTCGTTTCGTTGGTAATTCTACTAAAAGTATGTTTTTAATCCCAACCGTGGCTATAAAATTTTTTATAATTTGAAATTGTTCAAGTTATCCCATTAAACATCATTATCAGTTTTCATCAAGCCAATAAAAGCAATAACTGGGTTGGATATGGACTACAAGTGGTCTGGTCCTCTGGTCTTGTTGTCTTTTAATACGTAAATCGTGCCAAAACCTTTGAAATTTCAAATTAGTTGCATAAGTACCTACTCCATGATACTAATGACACTATTTTTTCATTCTTCATAGCGTGAGGGTGCTGCCCGCAGCGATGCGGAGCGCGAGAGACGCGCGCGCGGCGACTGGGAGGCGCGGGCGCGCGTCGCAGAGGCTGACGCGGCCAGACTCGCTGCCAAGCTCCATGCTGCCCAGCGTGAAATTACCAGGTAAGCAGAAGTATAAGAACATATTATATTTAATAATGTTACTAGAAATAAAAAGACAATGTGTAGTAGTTACAACAGAACTCCAGACAACGGCATTATTCAGCTTTTTAGACTATATTTGAAAACTCTTTATTTGATAGTAATCGAAGAGTTCCAATGTATGATTTTCAATGTCTATAAACCTGACTTACACTAATAGGATTCTTATTAGTTATGTTACGTTTTCATCAATCTATTGTATTCAAAACACCGAAAATGAAACATGATATATTATACCTACCTAAGTAGTTCTTGTTCGATAATGAAGTCGCCAAAAGATGCAAACTAGATTAAAATTAAACATTCATCGCAACAATCAAAGCAAACATACGGCACACACAATAACACATCAAAAACAAAACCATAAAACAAACCAAATCCCGTCAACACCAAATTTGTATTCATATCAAAAAACGACCATGATGTAAAACAAACCCGTCTGCCAAAAATTGGACGAAAGGAAAGGAAAAATTGCAAACAAAATCACATTTGCAAGTGCGAAAACAAACCGACAATAATTCGTTGAACAGTAAACAACCACTAACGAGATTGCGGACACAGCTGTTATAATTAAACAGGAACCAATTAAAATATTGCCTTTTGCAAACAATCTGTCGAAAATGTACGAAACTACACGAATATATACGAATGAATCCGAATTAGGTTCGTTACTAGTGACGAGACGTTAATAACTGGCAACTTTTGTGGTTTTTGCCAGGGATGCACTCTACTTTTTAAGTTTTAATTAGTTTGTACAAAATAAATTGGAACTTTTTGAAGAGTAATGTGAATGTTAATTATTTAATGTCTCATTTTTGTTCTGGGAACTCATTAGAATTGTTTTAAAAATAGTCTTTATTTTCTAAATGTATGTAATTTTTCATACTAAGTGGGATGGCATACGAAATTACAGTTCACGGATGTACAACAATTACTGTAGTCTCTGTAGGTTTATATTACCTGACCCTATGAAAACGTGTAGAGAATATACCTTTTATTATAGTGACAACAGCAAAAATATAGTGTGTTCTTATATCGAGATCATTCCTAATTCCGTCCCTGATCACCATCATGTAAATTGATAAAGCCATTCCAATTTAGCGTTTACGAGTCGATGGTATATCGATAACCGATGTTATGGCACTGTTCGATTTAATGAGCCGTTTAAATCGAGAACTACAATCGATTTTATTGCCAAATTATGTCGTATTGATAGTACTTAGTCGTTATCTGTAATGTAGACATTTTGGGTAACGTTACCAATTGCTTAATTGAATGTTGTTATGGAAGGTACTAATAATGATAATATCAGTAAGAAAAACTGCCCTTTGATTAAACTGTCCCGCACTGAACCATAGAACATAGAAAGAAACGGTCCAAGAAAAATTCACAAATTTTTGCTTCCGTATAAAATTACAAAGGTAACAAAACAATGCTATCTTAATTCTCAACAAAAAAGATCCTCTCTGTAAATAAACGCTGAATCATGCAATTCGAGCAAAATTTAAACAGACACGACCCTGATAAAACTCAAACAATTCAGGATACCAAAGGAAAAATACAAAATTCTCATTTCGATCAGCGATCGATTGGACAATGTTGAACAATCATTATCTTATGCTATGGATCGTCAGGATTCTTTTGATACACGATTGCGTGAAATGGAAGAAAAAATGAAGCAAAACATAGATGTAATAAGTCAACTACCTGACCTACAATATGAAATTAACTCTATGCAGCAGCAGGCCCGGCTATATAATGTAGAAATTGCTAATGTTCCTGAGCGCCGGGATGAAAATCTAGTCACCATATTAGAGAGGCTTGGGAGTTTTATCAAACATCCGATTAAAATGTCCGACGTCGTGTCAGTTCACAGAGTACCGCACTTCGATAGGAAAACTACTCGACCGAAAAATATTATAGTGAGATTTACAACTAAGATTCTTCGTAATAACTTCATCGAAGCGGCAAAGTTAGCTAAAGGACTAAAATCAGATCAGTTGTCTATATCAGGGACTGCACAGAATGTATATATAAATGAACATCTTACTGGCAAGAATAAACAATTATTTCGGATGTGTCGCGAGGCCGCAACCAAACAAAACTACAAATACGTATGGATTAAGAATGGTACAATATTGGTGCGTCAAACGGACTCGTCCGAGATCTTTGCGGTTCGTAAGGAGCACGATGTCAAGAAAATTAAATGAAACTTTGGTTAATATTTGCTGCATTCATCTGTACTTTATAGTGTATTGTTATGTTTATATAACTCTAACAATGTGTGGGTCTCCTGGGTTGTGTGTGTTTGCAGGTTCAATCAGGTTTTCATGTAGTTGTAATATTATGTATCGGAAAATATTTCTAACAATACTTTGCTCGTACTTTATATATGTTCCAATAATAATTCTAATAAAATGCAACGATGGCTGGCTGCTCGGTGTTATCTATTACCTATTACTTACACAAACACAGCAGTTCTCGATATTACAAATTATTTCACTAATATACATGTATAATCAGAGCGGGTATCTAACAAATCTAACAACTAAACTTTATGAAGGTATAGCTATAAATGGATAACACTAAAAATATTTCTATTTATTACCAGAATTGCCGGGGCCTTAGAACCAAACTACATACACTATACATGAATGTATTGTCAAATTCGTACGATATTGTCATACTAACCGAAACTTGGTTGCATACAGATATTTCAGATAATGAGTTTATTGATAGCAGATATGTAATATTTCGCGCGGACCGAGATCGAGATTCGAGCGGTCGACGCGATGGTGGTGGCGTACTGATTGCCGTGCGGCGCGCGCTGTGTGCCGGCTGCGCACTCGCATCGATCTCGCCTGTCCCCTCCATCATAGACCAAGTATTTATCGAACTACATTTAACTAAAACCCGTTTTTGTGTTGGTGCTGTTTACATTCCACCAAAGCAAAACAATCAAGTTTATAATGACTTTTTTTATGCTTTGCAAAAAAAATTAGTGGATCAAAGTAATAACGGAGAGTATTTGATTGTCGTTGGGGATTTTAATTTACCTAAATTGAATTGGATTAATGGGGAGCCATACAAAAAGTGTCTAAGCTGTGCTGATTTAAATCAAACACACCGGTGCATAAATAACTTCATGACAATATCAAACTGTTACCAAATAAATACATTACAAAATCACAATAAAACCATATTAGATTTGTTTTTCACTAATGTGTTGGATTGCGTACTGTTTTCGGCCCCTAATTCATTAGTGTCCACAGATGAACATCATCCCCCGTTCTGGGTCTCGGTACCATTCATAAGTAATAGTAGCTACATCCAACGTAAGCCATCTTCCAAATACAGTTTTAACAAAGCTAATTACGATAAAATTAAACAAGAGTTGTCTATTATAAATTGGAATGAACTATTAATGAATAGGGAGATTGAGGAGGCGGTATCCTGTTTTTATGAAAAATTATACAGTATCATTAAACAAAATATACCTTTACAAGTTATTAAATCACAATCGTACCCGGTCTGGTTCACGGCAAAATTGATAAAATTAAGTAAGAAAAAAAATCAAGCATGGATTAGAATGAAAAAGTATTATAGTGAGTCAAACTATAACGTTTTCTCTAGATATAGAAAGGAATTTAAGATCATGTCGGAAAAATGTTACATGCAGTATATGGCGTTATTAGAGACTAGCATAAAGGTTAACATAAAGTATTTTTGGAGTTATGTTTCCCATCGCAAGCGCTCAACAGATATACCTACAGATATACAATACAAATCGATCAGGGCTGGTACTATCGAAGAGGCCTGTAATTTATTTAGTAATTTTTTTCTCTCGGTGTACCGGCCTTCTGATGTAACTGAAAACTTAACCATAGCTGACCTTGGCACCGTATCGGGAAACATGTCGGATGTTACAATCAGTAATCTTACTTTGACCAGAACTGAAATCTGCAAGTCATTAAAATCGTTAGATATTACTAAGGGTTCCGGAGCAGATAACATACCACCCATCTTCTTTAAGGAAACTGCAACAGTTATTGATCAGCCTCTATGTTATCTCTTCAATAGATGTTTGACTGAGGGTGTAGTACCAAAAATATGGAAGAGCGCGAGGATCGTACCTGTGTATAAAGGTGGTTCAAAAAATGACGTCGAGAATTACCGACCTATATCCATACTGCCGGTACTTTCTAAAATCTTTGAGAGACTAGTCCACAATGCTATATATCCTCTACTACATAATCATATCTTACAACAGCAACATGGATTTGTTAAGAGACGATCAACTGTGACAAATCTTCTAGCATATACCACAGATCTATTTGAAGGTCTCGATGCTAATACTCAAATTGACAGTATTTATACAGATTTCCGCAAAGCATTTGACCGCGTAGATCATCGTAAATTGCTAGAAAAGATTGCATTCAATGGTATAAGGGGTGACCTGTGGAGGTGGTTCAAGTCTTACATTTCTGGTAGAACACAGAGGGTTGCAATTGGGGGTTATGAGTCAAACACCACTATAGTAAGTTCTGGCGTTCCACAGGGATCTATCCTAGGTCCACTGCTATTCGTTATCTTTATTAATGACGTTGACAAATGTTTCCTCAGTAGTGACTTTCTACTCTATGCTGATGACTTAAAAATATATGTAAGAATAAATAACTATCAAGACCACATCTATCTTCAAGAAGACCTGGATAGATTCAGCCTATATTGCCTCGAAAACAAATTGGAGCTTAGTCTTAACAAATGTAAAAGTATTAGCTTTAGTAAAAAAAAAGTAGTTAGCAATTACACATATTCACTGTGTGGAACTAACATTGAGAAAGTGCAGTCTATCAGAGACTTGGGTATTACTATAGACAACAAATTACACTTTGATATTCATATAGAAAATATTATTAATAACGCCTTTAAAATGTACGGATTTGTCATGAGGTCAGCCA